AGCAGAATAACGGAGGTAACAGATACCAGTATGAGAATCAGTGGCACACAGACTGGTTTACTTCACTGATCATTCCAACTTACAAAAAAGAGAGAAGTCTTTTTATGACAACCAAATGGTGACCAATTGAACTAACATAGTGGTCAAGATCCGTGGGTTTACAGCTATCCGGTACCCATCTGGGGCTCCAGAACAGCAAACACTGAGAAACCAGGCAGGTTTTAGATCCGGATGAGGGTAAGTCGACCAGATCTTCACCGGCGACCGACACACCATATTTTCTGTCGTGAAGGCATCGTTGGACTTTATCGACAGAGAGGTGCTGTGGCAGTGTTTAACTGTGAAAGGAGTAGCGTGCAAGTCTATGACGCCGATCAAAGCTCTCTGCTCAAAATCACATGGCCGTGTAAGGGCTAACGGGGAGCCATCCCTCGAAGTGGCGGGAACTAGTAATGTCCACCAGGGATGTCTGCTGTCCCCATTCTTATTACAGATGTATTAATTGACACAACCTTAGGTAACTCTGACTTTACGGTGACTGACCTACTCCCAGGAGAGCACCTGGTTGACGTGTAGTACGCAGACACCATAATCCTGTTGGGCAAAGATGCTGGTAAAATGCAGTTTCCCGAACGCACTGAGTCGTAATGAGTACGTTTGGCAAGTTTTGCACCTTTGAAATGTAAGCTTCTTCTGGACCCGTTTGCAGCTACTTTCAGTCAAAGGATAGGAAGTGAGGTGGTAGAATGTGCTGACCACTTCACTTGTTTGGGGGGTTGCATCAGGCCAAATGGCTTTGTTTTAATGAAGTCCCAGCTCCAAGTGCCAAAGACAGTTTTACGGTTTGTCAACTTACGCCATCCAAGATGCCGGCAAGGTATCCGATTAGCGAAGTGGGTATGCCTCACACTGCACCGCTTGGTGTTGCGGGTTAGGATATCTGATGGAAGAGTTCCCTCGAGCTTGCAGACGCGTTTTACCGAAGAGTACCAGCAAACACGAGACCAAAACCTAGGGCATTCTGTCAGCCGGCTTCAACCACCCAACACTGATCGAAGTGCACCGTTATTGTCTTTTAGTTTGATGACCACACAGCAAGATGGTCACCAGGATCCGGTCAGAATTTGGGACTAGATAACGTGGAGTTGCTTTCTCTCCAGTGACCAAACAATCTATAGCTGTGTACACAGTGACCAGATTTGTCAATTTTTTGTCAATACAGGGAGCTGATCAAGATTATATACAAAATCGACATTAATGAATTTGCCTGACTTTTGCATGGAAGATGCTAAACGTGTCAATAGCCTAATGTTGCTTCTAAGTTCCCATATCCCTATCATTTGCCTTACCACCCTTCCACCTGTTGGCTGAGCTACTACAAGGCGTAATAGATTTGACTGGCCATCTTGTAAAGTTTTACATTTTCCCAGCCACGTATGATTTTAGTATAAAGAGGATAATCACATATCCAAATAAAACCCCAGCTGCACAATCACCATTTGAAGGAAACCAGATCGAAACTAAAGCTTTAGAACAAGACAGGCGAGCAGACAGGATGGTTAGGGGAGCACTTCGCGTTAGCTCTTCTCTAATAGCTTAAGAAGTCCACATTCACGAGCCTAACTGTTCCGAGGAGTCTATCTGGTGCCTCACTAAGCTATTCAAGACTATTAAGTGCTCAGTGGAGGTCATTAATAGAAAGCCATCCGCAGACTTTGAGTATGTTGACGAAATGTTGGAGGTAATCAGTTAGTCTCAAACTACGGCAGAGACATGCTTGTTCTGGGAAACTTTAACCTACCTAAAGATAATTTTGTACACACGTTCGGCGGAAGCAAAAACTCCATTGAAGCCCGATTTTTCAACCTGACTGAAGAAATGTGAATTATGGAAAATGCGAGATCAGTAGGAAATGGAGGAAAGTCCAAGACCTATCCCAATTAGGCATATTCGAAAATGAAGTGTTGATGAAACAAACAGACAGATACTATCTTAACAGACAAGAAACACATTTACGAAAGCATTGAGCGCCGACCGGCTACGGCATCAAGTCAGGCTCACAAACATGCTTATTTCCAACCCAAGAAGACTGTTCCGCTATGCTGTGTCGTTACGACAGGCTAAAGTAGGAGTCTGTCAACTGGTAGGACCGAATGGGCTGAGTAGCGGTGAGATGTGATCAGCAGCACTCTAAGCCTATCAGTGTTTGCAAACATTTTCATCACCAACCACCTACTCAGGATTTGACGAATAACCGACCGACAAAGCAGGACTCTCGGTCGTTGACTTTGACGTGTAGAGCCAGTGCAGCGCAAACTGTGACTGTTCGCAAGATATAACCCCATGGAACCGAACAAGATCGATGCGCCGTTTCGGAGTGGGGGGAGCACAACTCTTGACCAAACCGTTAAGTGAGCTATCTAAGGACACTCTAAGTCAAGGAAACGTCCCCACTCCTCGAGAGTTCAGTCACACAAGGCCAATTTTCCAAGATCAACGAATCAACTTGGAGGGATACAGACCATTAACTCTCTTGTCTCTACCGTTCAAAGTGATGCAGCCTTTAATTTGTGGTCCCCTGAGAGATCACCTCATAACAACCAACTTCTTTACACCTCCTAACAACGTAGGTTTAGCGGATTACTAACTTGATCACCACAATAGATAAACGGACCAGTATTGTCAACCCCGAGGCAAAATTGACATTATTTGTCTGGACTTTGCAAAGGCATTTGGTGGAGTTAACCAGAACTACCTTATCGATGAGCTAAGGCTAACTGGGATTAACACACTACTCACTGGCATCATATCCACAAGACCACTCTCTTTGGGTTCGAGTACGTTCTCTCTTACCTCAAGAAAAAGGACGAAGTTCACCAGGGCTCGGCACTAGAGTCCCTTCTAATATACAGGTTAGTTCTAAAAATCCTTCTCCTCGCCGGAGATGTGAAACTGTAGACAGAAATCATCGGTCAGGTAGTGTTTCCCTACAGGAAGATTTAATACGAGTTCTAAACTAGGGAATCAATGGTAGATTCGCACTGAACCCTGGGAAACGCAAGGTTGTCGACAAGACGCATGTTGCGTATTTAGTCTCAACAGCACAAAAATAGAACGGTCATAATCGAATTTAGGTGGTTTGGTTTCTCAAATCTTATGCTGTGATAGAAACACATTTCGCGGGAACTGGGCACTAGTAACACAGACGAGTTTTTCAACAATTCAACCGCAAATGCTTTCATCAGATTTTTAACACCTTTATCCGGCTTCGCCTAGAACTCGCGAGTGTAGTGTTTCCACCTTACTGTCGGAAGAAAGATTAGGTTTAGAAAGCACTAAGAGTTTGACCAAACCCTGTTACAGACATGAAACATGTGAGGAACGACTGCTAGCGCGCAACCTTATCTTCTGGGATATTGAAGACTTAAAGACGATTTGATAATAGCTTATAATACCCCTAAAAGTTCACCGCGTGACTTATTCAACCTTAAATGCAACAGTAACCTCAGAAAACAGAAAGTCAAGATATGAACGTAGCAAGTTAGACACCGTGTGCAGCTTCAACTCTCTGAGTTGTTCAGTCTTGCAATGCTCTTCCCCCAGAAGTGGTCCCAGTTAACCTGATTGAATCTTTTAACGCCGAATTGACACCTACTTACAATGCGATCGTGAGCTTAATCATGACTACCTTGCCCTTCTTATTTAACCATCTATTTATCCTTAATTTTTTGTACGTAGGTAAATAACCAAAAAAAATGGCGACCTACTCTATCTAAATACATATGATAGTTAGACAGGAGTTTCTTATATCCCGTTAGTAACAACTTAAAAACTTCGCAGCAGCAATGAATCACAAAGCTACATCTCTATATCTGACCGGCTAGGAAACTGTTTTTGATGCAACTGTGTTGCAAAACAGAAATGCCAAACACTGCACAAGTTGAACCTATTGTGAAGAATATAATCCAGTAGGATCTGAAAACATCCACAAGATATACGGAGGCAATTTCTGCCAAATTTCAAATGTCTACACACAGTAAAAACCATTGCCAGATATAGGTCCTCCAACCTATAGCGAACAGGTCGAACTGATGTTACATCATCGATAGTAGAGAATGACACTGAGGTGCAATGATCTCACTCAAACTAAGCTTAAAAGAGGCAGTTATGCAATTCTAAAAGGTGATCGCATTCAAAGAAAAACAAGATTGTTACTTAGATAATTACTGTAAGGATGAACAGGCCAATAGCCTACATATTTTCGCACTAAAGCAAATACACAAATCTTCTTGTCTAAAAGAAATTAATTTTGAACAAAAATGACTGCCAACCATACTTCATAATATTCACCAACCAAGTAAACATCACTACATATAGTACGATTGACAGTATGACGTCCGCACAAATTTCGATAAGCGAAGACAAGGCTTTCAGTTTCATTCAACTGCATGTGACTAAGTGAAATGAAGACACATGCTGATAGCAACACTGGGTAGAACGAATCACATACTGCCAAGAAAGAGAAATTACACACCTTGATGAAACGGTTTGTGATAGAAATGCAGCACTATTTGTAATGACAGACTAAAACCCCAGCAAACACCCAAGTTGCAATAGGATGTTCTAACTGATGCACGCACCATACTAATTACTAAACACAAATTTGATTTTGATAGCAAGCTACACAACGAGCAAGTGTGGCTTAGGGCATAGCTACAGACCTACATGTGATCATACACATCATCTGTGTGGATGAATTGAAATAGGTCGCTTGTTATTATTACAATACTTGAGATTAATCAACTTGTATTATCGAAAATTAGTGAAAACAGACCGGTTTTGTCAACTTTCGTCCCTAGCAGTCGAAATCCGTATTGCAATCAAAAGTCTGTCCAAACAAGCACGTAAGAAAATCCTATTTAAAGTTTTTTTTTCTATGGATGACTTGTTTTCATCAAGTATACAGCTAACTAATCATCTTTGAACCTGGTATAAAATAGTTATGAGCTTTCTTTTGCCAGCTGCTCAGCTTTTTCCAGAACATCTTCGATAGCTCCAACCATGAAGAACGCAGCTTCAGGTATGTGATCCAACTCACCTGCAAGAGTAAAATTAGATCAAACCCAAAACCTCTTACCGTTAATGATCATCTTGAAACCCCTAATAGAATCCTTTAAAGATACTAACTTTCCTTCACGACCAATGAAAACTTCTGCTACTTGGAAAGGTTGACTCAAGAACCTTTGTATTTTTCGAGCACGTGAAACTGTCAGCCTATCTTCTTCAGATAATTCATCCATACCCAAAATTGCAATAATATCTTGCAGTGATCGATTTTCCTAGAAAGTTTAGCATTATGTAACTTATGTACCTGCAGGATCTTTTGTACACCACGAGCTACAGAGTAATGCTCCTCGCCTACAATGTTAGGATCCAAAATACGACTATTGGAATCAAGAGGATCGACAGCAGGATAAATACCCAACTCGGCAATGGCGCGACTTAATACAGTAGTTGCATCCAAGTGAGCGAATGTAGTGGCCGGCGCAGGATCCGTCAAATCATCGGCAGGAACATAGATCGCCTGCACTGAAGTAATTGATCCTTTACGAGTGGAGGTGATCCGTTCTTGCATGCTACCCATATCAGTGGCCAAAGTGGGTTGGTAACCGACAGCACTGGGAATACGACCTAACAACGCAGACACTTCAGAACCAGCTTGAGTGAATCTGAAAATGTTGTCGACGAATAATAGCACATCTTGACCTTCTTGATCACGGAAATATTCAGCAACCGTCAAACCTGTCAAAGCAACACGAGCACGAGCACCAGGTGGCTCGTTCATCTGTCCATACACGAGGGACACCTAAAAAACGCTTTTTTCAGTTGTTATAATACTCACCTTGGAATTATTACCCTTGAGATCAATAACACCAGTCGTTATCATCTCATGATACAAATCATTACCCTCTCTAGTACGCTCCCCTACACCAGCAAACACAGAGTAACCACCATGAGCTCTTGCAATATTATTGATAAGTTCCATAATTAAGACTGTCTTGCCTACTCCTGCACCTCCGAAAAGACCTTAAAGGAAATGAGAAAAAGCATGCCGAACAAACCAATTTTCCCCCCTTTACATATGGAGCTAGCAGGTCTACTACCTTGATACCTGTCTCTAAAATCTCTTGTTCAGTACTCATTTCGATGAAGTCAGGTGCATCTTGGTGTATACCTGACATCATCTTAGTTTTGATTGGCCCCCTCTCATCGATTGGTTCTCCGATAACGTTCATGATACGACCAAGAGTCTCTGGCCCTACAGGAATGCATATAGGACCACCAGTATCGACGCACTGCTGGCCACGAACTAGACCCTCCGTTCCATCCATAGCTATTGTACGTACTGTATTTTCCCCAAGGTGTTGGGCAATTTCAAGAATCAAGCGAGGAGTACGGCCCTTAACTTCCAAAGCAGTCAGAATGGGTGGCAAGTTCTCATCAAACTGAACGTCAACGACAGCACCAATAACAGCTACAACTCGACCCGTTGAACCAGTTTTGGCACCAGGTGTTACAACTGCTGGTTTGGCCTCAGCTGCATAACTACGTCCTGGAATGATTAATTAATCGTCGAAAGTGCGTGACCTACTTTGACCAACAAGAGTAGCTGGACAAAACGATGACAAATTCGAAGTAGGTCTCAAGAACTTCGTCACATTACATACCGACCTTAATAAGCTCATAATGGCGACGCCCGACGAAAGTACCGCCAACAGGTAGCGTATGTCGCGACTGAAGTTGTACACACACAAACAAATACGTAGGTTGAAAGTACTAAAGAGATTCAGGACTAAAGATGTAAATGTTGGTCAGACTTACGAAACCCGACATCCTACACCAATAATGCGAGTAGAAGAAACCTGCAGTTTTTATGCTCTTGCTTCAAGATTTTGAGGGTAGGTTTTTCTTCAGCTACTATCATTCAGTGATCGCAGATATCTTTATGTTTTTCTAGCCTATAACTTTGGGGATAGTGATTGTATGTTTGTAGGCATTTCTTTTTTGTAGAATGTAGCTTGGTTCGTCTCGGGAAGCGACGGAGCTGTTGATTAGATCTGATTAGACCTGTCAACGAGTTCAAGGAGAAACTAGATCTTTGCAGAGATATCTTCTGCAAAGATTAACACAGGCCAACTGACCTACTATTCTTAAAACTGAAGCTGAAACTGAAAATAACCTTTTGCAATTCCTATTTTTGTAAGCACCTGCAAGTAGGTATCGAAGGTTACCTAAAAAGTAGTGCCAGAAATATGGTGAGTCGGCAATGAGGACCGGGAAAACGAAAAGCAATTATGGAAAAATAGGTGTAACTGTCAATAATATTGAGAAGGGATTAAACTTATTGCAGGAACTTATGATTAATGTTTTATTATTAGTCCCTTGGGTTCCTAGTGGAACAAAGGGCTTCAGTAGCACGTCTCCATTCCAATCTGTTCTCTGAAGTCTTTTGAACTCTGGCTCCACGACAGCCCACAAGCTCTCATTTCCTCCTCGCACGACCTCCTCCTTGTCACCCTCGCCTTGGACGCCCGACTTGTCGCCTCTCATGGGGGTTCTACTCGAGGGCTTGGCCTGACGCGTGATGTCCCCAGTCGGCCTTCTCAGTGTGTGCCCGATTCAATCCATCTCCACTTCCTTCCAGTGCATATTTGTTGGGTGATAGGTTCTTGGTTGGCTCGTTCCCAGAGCTCCTTGTTGCTTATTCTCACTATCCTGGCCATCTGATCTTCAATAGCGAGCCAACGTAGGCAGTTGTTGATGAATGTCTGTAGTTTACTTGGGAATCCCTTTCGTAACGCACCAAGTCTCTGAACCATACAGAAGCACTGACTTGACTGATTTGGTGTTGAAAATCCGGATCTTGTTCATGCTTTATGCTGAGTGCAGAAGATCTCCACACTGGTTTCAGGCCGGTGAATGCCTGTCTTGCTTTTCCGATTCTGACCTTGACATCCTCGTCTGTGCCTGTGCCACCTGTAGTTGAAACAGTGCTGCCTGGGTAGGTGAAGGAGGTTATTTCCTTTAACTTTCTCTCATTGATGGTGATTGTAGTTTGTTGTTATTGTTGGAGTTGTTGGTGCGGTATCTTCCTCACCTCTGTCTTCTCTATATTCACTTGAATGGTGTCCCGTCTTCGTTGCCCTGCTTTACCTCTTCTGTCGACTTGTTAGTTTTCACCTGTAGATCTTCAAGTTTGTGTGACATTGGACACAAGTCATCGTTGGCGAAATCCAAATCTCCTAGGTTCTTTTCCGCAGTCCAGCCAGCGTATCACCCTCTTCTCGCTCCTCACTGTTTGCTGCATGATCCAGTCGACCACAACACAATCAGGAATATCATGGGTGGTAGTAGGCAACCTTGTTTCACTCCTGTCTTCACTTCACTTCAAAAGCATCACTGAGCTTCCCATTGTGAATTACTTGGCCGGCATGTGGTGTCTTCATATAGTTGTTGAATGAGGCTGATAGAGGTTTGTGGTATTCCGTAGTGTTGAAGCAACTGCCAAATTACTTCTTGGTCGACGCTGTCAAAGTCCTTCTCAAAGTCGATGAAGTTGAGGTAGAGGGTTGACTACCATTCTATACTCTGTTCTATGATGATGCATAGTGTAGCGTTGCGATTTGATCCTCACATGATTTCTACTTCCTGAATCCAGCTGGCCTGTTCCGGTCGTGGTTTTGAATCCAGCGCATTCTTTAGTCTCTCCAACATGATGCGGCATAAGATTTTGCTTGCTTCGAGTGGACGGGAGCGTGTTTCCGCGCCAGTTCTTGCAAAGTCTTAGGTCGCCCTTTTTCGGCGGTCTGATAAGATAACCCTTCTTTCAATCTGCTGGTACCTTCCCTTCCTTCCAGACCTTCTACAATATAAGTGTGAGCATGTCCGCTGTTGTCCCTGCTTCTGTTTTCAGTGTTTCTGGAGGAATTCCATCTGGTCCTGCTGCTCTCCCGCATTTCAGTAGCCTCGTGGCGCTCAGGGCTTTGGCTTTCGCTGCAGGGCCTGCATTCCGGCTGTACAGGTTTCTTCCCGCATAGCTTTCGAAGAGTTCCAATGCTCATACACACATGTTTCTTCAAGGAATGTTGCCCGATATCTCCCATTTTGTCTTTATGACTGACTGATTTGAAGATTTCCTCTGTAGTTTCATCCTTCGGCTTCTGGGTGTTGAACTTGGACTGTGGTCTATTATCACAAGCTCCTTGGAGGGCTTTCAACTTGATTTTGAAGGTTCCTTGTACCAGATAGTGAGTGGTGTGAACCTACATCTGCTCCCCTTCCTGATCTGATCTTGTGTCCAGTAGGCTGTCTCCACTTTCTTCACATTGAGATAAAGTCGATCTGAATTTTAGTGTGTCCTGGTGTCCGGTGAAATCCATGTCGCTTTGTGAATATCCATGAGCTTGAACACACTGCCCGCCTCCAATTACCAAATAGTTGAATGCACGGAATTCGGCAAACTATTCTCCATTCTCGTTCATCACCTCACCGAGTGCTTCTCGACCCATGGTTAGTTCTCTTCCTGTGTTGTCCACTCCCAGTTTGGTATTCATGTAGCCCATTAGAATCTTGATGTCGTTAACTGGAGTATGGTCCAGTACTGATTACAGTTGTCTGTAGAATTCCTCCTTCTTCTTTCCATCTGCATTATTTGTAGGTGGATAGTGTAGTGTAGCGTAGCATTGTATGATTGTGACCTTCCTTCCTTTTGAGTTGAATCCATCTTGCTGTCATGATCCTAGAAGAGGAGACTGGTTCCCACTGCATGAGAGCCTTTAGATACCCTTGGGGACATCGTGATAGCCACTCCAAAGCTCAGTGTGCTCGTGGTTGTCGTCTGGGTGACAATATCGGAGGAGATTATTGACTTCTCTCCAATTGACAGTTTGGAGAGTCCACTCCCATTCCATCTGCTTTCGCAAATTCCAAGCACTTCAATGTGATACCTCTTCATCTCGTTTGCAATCTGGGCTGCCTTGCTGGGTTCAAACATCGTACGGACATTCCATATCCTCACGTTTACTTTCGCTTTCATCGAGAGAGACGAAGACACATCGGCCAATTGGCTTCCCGAAGGCTTTCACCAACCGACGTCATTTCGCCTCTCCGATTCCATTGAGGAATAATTTTGTTGTTATTTTTTATATTTTGTTTGTGCTTTGAAGTTTGTTTAGCGGTTAGACTTGTTTAGCGGTTAGATTTGTTTTGCGTGGTAGTGTTGCTAGTGGTATGCCCAACCTTCCCTGTTTACCCGGGCTTAGGACCGGCTAGTAACTAGTGGACCAGTTAATCAGGTGAGGTTAAGAGAGTTCGTACTGCCGGGTGATGAAGTTTACGGTGGATCATATTTTTATCTTATTATATATGCCTTATATCTCAGTACACATAAGAGTAGCGGAGCGAGATAAGCGAAAGCTTCGTCAGTTTCGTCATCAACACGCGACAGCGATCTGAGCCATATCGTTCATTCCTCACTTAACCGATCCTTAAAACTATTTTTGGATCTCTATGAGGTGGCGCTTGATGATATTTCGATGTTTTTCCTGTCGATGGATATCGGGTAATAGAGCGAGTTATTCGGTGGGAAGTTGCCATGAAGTTTAAGACGATCATTTTGTAAAGAACCTTGAGCTTGCATCCCGTAGTGCAACACATTCTCAGCAGTGCAACTGAACGTTTTTCAGGAGTTTGTACACCTTCCTTAGGTACGCAGATTTCTGGCACAAATTCCTGTGTTTCCCCAGAACTAGACTTCAGTTTTGCAGAAGTTTCTGCACTTCCCCTGGGTAATGAGGACTTTTTGAAGACCTTCCTGCAGTTCCCAAGGCTAGCCTGGAATTTCAAACACTACGATCCCCAACCGCGTAATTATTATTTCATACTGGGCGATAATTGAAGGTGAGATGAAAATGTGGATTCATATCAGCGATCTTATCCGAAAACCCAACGAAAAGCCTAGCAGTATGTCGTTAACGAGACACAATCCTGTCATTAGTATGTTTGATACAGTTGGTAATGAAATCAACGAATCTTCCGCCCCACCAGCTTCCGTGTCTGCGGGCAGCGGATCATGGTTTCCTCCGGTTCTTGTATCACGTACAAATGAAGAAAGGAAACGATGGCATACAGATGAGAGAGATGAGGCTAATTTTGATTGAGCTGCTACTCCTTTCTTAAGTAAGCGCCCGGTCGGTGTTCCAGTCTCATGTGAAGTAGGCTGAACTGGTCAAATACGTAAGGAGTTCTCACATTCAACAACACGTATCGAGCAGAGTTTGTGCCTGACACCTCAATAGTTAGGTTCAGGGCTGAGTTTCTGTTTGTGTCCTGTAAGAATGATGTCGAAACTAAGGTTGGGTAGGTGACGACGTAGGTGTTCAGGCATGCTTAAAATTTGTTGTAGTACAACTCTACATGTCGTCGTCCTCTTGAATAATCCGCTAAGTTGAGATGCTCAAAAGAAAGCCTTAACGTTCCTGTGCATAATCCGCACTCCATAATAAACATCCGCAAGATGTGAGTGTCTAGCATTATGCTGTTGAACTGCTTCGAAATCCACACTTGATCTTCTGTTGTCTCCCTACTTGTCCATGAAAACAAAACGAGTGAACCATAGCTAAAACTATCAGTCACTGGTAACGAAAAATAAGAGCAACTTCAGAGTGAAATTGGTCTGTGAGGAAAA